GAGCATAGCAGCTAATAGCGACTTGCTAGGTTAGCAGTCATGAAGGATGGCAGAGTTGCATGAACTTCGTTCAGCTCAGGTAACTTTAGCAGATCAAACTGAGAGGATTACGTTCTCGTTAAATACGAAGAACTAAAACAGCGAGTCCTCCCGTGCACGCTCCTGTGTACGTTCCCATGGCACCTATCGATTTTTGGCAGCCCATCACTTGTCATGACACCTGTATCTTCTGAGAACGTAATCCTCAATTTGAGCTGCTAAAGTTACCTGAGCTGAAGGAAGTTCACGCAGCTCTACCATCCTTCATGACTGTTGACATAGCAAGTCGCTGCTAGCTGCTATGCTAGCTGTACCTTCACAGTGAGCAGGAAAACTAATGGATGTGAAGGATCAGCCAGTGGGCGTGCACGTCCAGCCCACTGACGTTGATTGACAGCTGAAGACTTTCTGCTGAAAAGAGTTATTATGAAATAAATAAACTGTTATGAAAAACGCCAGTATGAAACAAAGACCGGTGAGCTACCATGAAAAACACAATTATAAAATAAAATGATAAAAATGATTTTTTTTTTCTTATTTCATAATGTTTTATTTATTTATTTAATTTTGAGCATTGTGGTGTTCCATAGTTTAGGGACTGTGCGAAAAATGAGTGGAAAAAACAAAAAATAACAAAGCAAAAAAAACTATTTGAGCCCTTGAACATTTGGAGATTAAAATCCCTTTAAAAAATGGCAAAGTCTGGCTCTATTAAAGCAAGGTATCAATAAATTAAGAGGTACTTTAAATCTTTAGCACAATAAATCCTGTATTGCTTTTTTTTTATGGCTGATTATTCATTACAGGAGAATATTGATGTTTTAATTTGGATTGATTTAATCCAAAGCACCATGTTGGTTCATCCTTTGACGGTGACAGAGCTGTACAAGTATGTGATGATTGTTACAGTAACAACCTAAAGTCTAGAAACGAATAGTTCTGACATTTATACAGAGCTGAAAGCTGCACACTTTTGATTTATGGTTTAAAGTTCATTCCTGACGTGCTTGCTTTGCTGATCGGAGTACATTTTATAACTTGAGTTACTGTATCTGAATTGTTTCCTGTCAGAAATAGGCCTTCACCTTTAACCCTCACACCTGTCGTCTCTGTGCCAAGAATAGAGCTCGCACTTAAAGTCACAGCTACAGATAAACAGCACTGAAGCGTTAAACCCGTCAATATTCAGTTTTCATTTGAGCTTTTAATTGTTTTGCAGCACAAAGAAGATTATGGGAGGCGCTGAAACGATACAAGATACAATCACGCCCGAGGTCGTCGTGGCCGAGCAAGGTTTGATCGTTCAAATGTCTTCCTTTATTAGAGAAGTAGTGGTAAACGTTGGCTGAAGAGTTTTTATGAGTTTAATATCGCACACAGATGTTCCGCGGTTCAGATGCAGGGGATCCGTTGACCGGAGTGGCCCAGGTTCAGGGCTCTGAGACCACCATCAGTCGGACTCTGCCTTCTCTGATCCAGGACAGCGAGCTGATTCTGGGGGAGAAGCTGGGCTCGGGGTCCTTTGGGGTGGTGAAGAGGGGGGAGTGGCATACGCCCACAGGGAAAGTGGTAAGAGCTGACTTTGTTGCTTTTTTTTTTTTCCCTCCCCCAAAATTAAAACTTAGGTAGATCCTTTATAAACATAAATTAAACCCGTTTATTCTTACCACAGCCCTCGGGTCTAAATGATCCCCAAGGACTCATTTTTTAAACGGACGACCCTCAGAATTTTTCAAAGTGGGGTTCTGTTGAGAAGTTATGAGCAGTCAATATCTTACCTGTTGTTGATAGCTCTTAGAACAACCTCAGTTTGGAGAAATCCGGTTAATTTTGAGAGGAATCATAAGCTAACCAGTGGGAGTCTGTGGGAGGTTAAGACCAAAGGGAGTTACAGTCTTAACCCTCCTGCTGCCTACGCCTCAGTTTTAAGACTGAGGCCTTGTGAAATGTATTGAGAAATATGATGGTTTCTCAGATCAAACTATCGGTTACTTTTCTAATTATCTCTCAGATCGGAGGCAATGTGTTCACTATAATGCTATTTCTTCCATTTATTTAACTGTCAACAATGGTGTGCCACAAGGCTCAATCTTAGGACCCACTCTCTTTACAATCTACATAAGCAATGTAGGTCAGAACATTCCTGACGCATCCTTGCATTTCTATGCTGACGATAGTTGTTTATTGTCGAGCTAAATCAGTTGCTAAGGTTTTCAAGCTTTTACAGTCTGCATTCGACATCATCCAGTCAGACATGGTCTGTGTAAAACTGGTGCTAAATGCTGATAAAATCAAAGGGATTTTATTTTTAAACAGAAAGTTGGTACCAGCAGTCCTTCCTACTGTCTTATCTACGAATGGCGTTCCTATTGAGTTTGTGGATACTTATGAATACTTGGGAATCTTGGTCTATGTGCATCTCTCTTTTGAGCCTCATGCCGAAAACTTGATAAAGAAATTGACATTAAAATTGGGTTTCGTTTTCAGAAGTGGATCTTGCTTAACTCTGAATGCTAGGAAACGTCTTGTATGTGCTACTTTCCTTCCGACTGTTGACTATGGTGACATTATTTACATGAATGCAAATGCAAAATCCACCACTGCACCCTGTATTCAATGGTCAGTTGGTCATCATTAACTTCACGCAGACTCTCACACTGGTACATTTTCATCTTTAAATCACTTCTTGGTTTGCTCCCTTCATACATTTCCTCCTAAATGTCATGTTGTCAGTGCAGCTATGCCGTGTGCTCTCAAGACATCATTACCTGCAGCGTCCCCTCAGTGCAGATTGAATTCGACAAAAAGGCCTTCTCTTACTACGCTTCTGTAACCTGGAACACCTTGCAAAAATATCTGAAACTCTCGAGCATTTAGCTCATCAGTCTGGTGTTTTATTTCTTTTTTTAACGTGTCGTTTAAATTCAGCCTGGACAATTAGACCTCTCAAAGCCAGGATAACAGGTATGAATAGTGATACGTTTGTATGTTTCTCTCTCAGCTTCCAGTGGCAGTAAAATCTCTGAGAAGCAGTATGTCCAGACAAACAGAAACGCTGACAGACTTCCTCCAGGAAGTCACCACCATGCAGTCCTTAGACCACCCCAACATCATACGACTCTACGGCGTGGTGCTCACACAGCCCCTCAAGATGGTGAGATGAACTTTCAGACTAAATATTCCAGCTCTGACAGTTGTCTGAGCTGAGTTTCACGCCACCCTGTTTTGTTTTCCTTGGTTCCCCAGGTAACAGAGCTGGCTCCCCATGGCTCGTTATACGACACGCTGCGAGCGCGGCAGTTCGAGTACCCGTTGCTCCGCCTCTGGGTCTTTGCTACCCAGATCGCAGCAGGGATGGACTACCTGGAAACCCGTAGGTTTATCCACAGGGACTTGGCAGCGAGGAATGTGCTGCTGTCCTCCAGGGAGATGGTGAAGATTGGGGATTTTGGTCTGATGCGAGGCCTGGCTCAAGAGAAGGACCATTACATCATGGGAGCGCACAGGAGGATCCCGTTCGCATGGTTAGAAATGGAAAGTTTAAAGATTGAGAAGATGAAAATGATAGCCATGAAAATAGAAATCCACAAGAATGGCTGATCACACCACAGTTTATTGTAGCAAGGCAAGAAGATGTGCTGCCATCTTTGTAGGAGCTACATGGAGGAGCTATTGCATCAATATTAGTGAAATCCATCCATCTATTATCTTTTATCTGCTTCTTCTTTTTCTGGTCATGGGAGTCGCTAGTGCCCATATTCAGCTATCACTGTGCGAGAGGCAGGGGACACCCTGGACAGGTCTCCAGTCCATCACAGGGAAACATAGAGACAAACGAGACAAACAACCATTCACTCTCTCACTCACACCTAGAGACAATTTAGAGTTACCAATCAGTCTAACATGCATGTTTTTGGTCTGTGGGAGGAAACCGGAGTACCCGGAGAAAACCCACGCATGCACGGAGAGAACATGCAAACTCCACCCAGAAAGGCCCCCGGACCGGGATTTGAACTGGGGACCTGCTCGTTGAGAGGCAGCAGCTCTACCAGTTGCACCACCGTGCTGCCCATTAGCGAAATAAGAACCATCATTTTCCCAACTTGTTTTACCCATTTTATTGGAAAAAATATATCAATACTTTAAATATTGGTGAATTAGTGTACAAGTAGTCCCTCGATTATCGCGGGGGTTACGTTCCAGACACCACTGCAGTTGGTGAAAATTTGCAAAGTAGGGACGTTATATTTATTTTAATATTTATACACATTTTAAGGCTTTATAAACTCTTCCCACACTCTTGCTATGTTCTAAACTCTTAAACCTACGTAAATTTAACAACATACATATATGTACTGTGCAGTGCTGTAAAGTTTTATATGAGTACTCACCAGTGACGAGGAACTACTGTATCGGCTTGAAAAAAAGCTTAGTCATACAGGTCTTAATACTGAAGTGCATTCATTCATCACTTAAAGGGGGCTGGTGTCGTTTCTCTATCACTAATGTGTGACTTTCTGTTGGCTTCTCAGATTAATAACGTTACTAACTGCAGTCAGTAACATTCACATACATGCAGTGCAGAAATGTTCGCATACATATAAAGTAGGGGTGCATGATATTGGATTTTTGGCCAGTATCTGATACCAGTACCGATATTTTTCCCCCTAGACCTACTTACAGAGACTACATATCTTTCTCTGCTGTGGAATTAAAATACTACATTATTCTGCATAGTCTTTGTTGGTTTGGCCTGGTACCAAATGCGGATGCCAAAAAGGGGGCTGAAAATGATGCAACACTTCAACTTGGATTATGTTTAACGTCAAATTTATTCAGGACATTTACTCTCTCTAACACAATGACAACACCCGAACAGTGCAGATTTACAGCATCTTTTATATCGGCGAGTTATTTTGATGTAATGGCCGATATTTAACTTTATCGCTAATATCGGCCGATACCATGTCGATAATATTGTGCATCCGTAATATAAAGCCATGGCTTTAAATGTATGTGAACATTTCTGTTCAGTGCCCTGAGACGACTTCTGTTGTGATTTGGCGCTATATACCGGTAAATAAACTGAATTGAACTGACTTGGCTTGTTGGAGGCTCATTACAGAATATTTCTTTCTTGTTTTGAAAACAGGCATGATGTATGTTAATTTAACTAAAATTTGTCTATTGTGTTTTTAACGGATCGTACAGCGTACAGCACACACAAGGCGTTAACGTGTGGTTTTCACTTATAAACCCTGCAGTTACACACTTAGCACCTACCAAGATGGCGGCTACAACTCTTGTCAGTGTATCTCTGTTTCAGTGATGATTGTATTATTATAACTTACACGTTTCACCTGTTTAACCTTTGGTTCTTCATTCCTTTTTTGGCTTTTTCTCTAGGTGCGCCCCGGAAAGCCTCCGTATCGGCTCCTTCTCCCACGCCTCGGACGTCTGGATGTTTGGTGTCACCCTGTGGGAGATGTTCACCTACTGCGAGGAACCGTGGTTCGGTCTGTCTGGTCGACAGGTACACACTTGCCACCTGAACAACAGCGTTCCCGTCTTTGTGTTTTAATTACTGCCAGATGTTTGTTTTTTTTAACGTCTGGAATGTTTTTCCGCGCCCTCACGCTGTCTCTATGACTCAGAGTTTTGGTTTCACGTCAGTTTACTCTCCCGACTGTCAGATTTTGTGGCGTGTGGAGCGAGAGGGAGAGCGGCTGGAGAAACCGCCAGATTGCCCTCAAGAGATGTATGGCATCATGAGGAAGTGCTGGGCCGTCACACCTGCGGAGAGGCCCAGCTTCACCCAGCTCACAGTCATGGTGGCAGAGGTTCGAACTGATGTCCAGCTTTCATTACCTCCTGGGATAAAATCCTCATTAGACGCATGAATATGTTTCAGAATTCCACTTCTATAAACGATCGTCTTCTTTCCTAAAGGCTAAACCGGTGGAAGTCCAAGCCACAAGAGACTTCGCAGAGCTCAGAAAACTCCCGCTCGCAGCCAACGACATCGTGACCGTCGTAGACCATGGGTGGGTGAGGCAAGCAAAACGCAAGGAACAAAAAAAAAAAAAAAGACTTTCAGCTGACACATGACACAATCATCTTGTTGAGATGCACTGGAGATTAGATTCAGCTTTCTCTCAAAAGTGCATTCCAGCACTGATCTCATCAAGTCCTCGAATGCATCCTGCTTTGTTTGTTGAACGAGTCGAGCAGCTTTTACTCTGCTCTCACCGTGTTGCTCTCATTTGAATAAAAACATCTACAGTAAGGACAAAAATATGTCGAGGCTTCTTGATACATGGACATTTTTCAATATATACAAGCCGAAACAACATACCGTAATTTCTGGACTATTGAGCGCACCCTAATATAAGCTGCGCCTATTAATTAAAATACTAATAATTTATAGGTCGCGCTTGTCTATAAGCCGTGGGTGTCCACGTTGTAACGAGATATTTACACAGAAAGATTTTTTTTTAAACTTTTACCGTATTTTCTGCCGTACACGTCACTCCACCTTATAAGTCGCATCAGTCCATATTTGTCTAATAAAGTGGAAAAATCCATAAATATGTCGCTTCGCCGTAACGTCACATCTATTATGCGTCACCGCTGACACGTCGCGTTTGTTACGCGTCACCGTTGACAACCTGGAAACGTGGGCCGGTGTTGTGCCAAAAATCAATGGGCGGCCAAATGACGACCGCGGGAGCGTGCACGGGAGGACTTTACAAGAATTAACAAGATTAACACTTAAAAACAATTATTTGTTTGCTTGAAATTATAGAAAAGTTGTTTCAGTTTAACTTTTCCTTAATAAATGCACTTTGATGGTCAAATCAGCTGCATTTCAAAAGCTGATACGCGGAAGTAAACATGTGCGAGTCTCTGTGCAAATTTAACAAGATAATTGCCTAAAAATAATTATTTGCTCGAAATTATAGCAAAGCTGTGTCCCAGTCTTTACATTTGCTTAATAAATGCACTTTAATGGTCAAATTAGCTGAATTTCAAAAATAGTTTATTGCCTCGGTGCTCCGGGGGCGCGGAGGAAAAGGAGGAGGAGCGCTGCTCGTTTCTTCGAAATTTAACAAGAAAAGTACCTAAAACAATTATTTGTTTGCTCGAAATTATAGCAAAGGTATGTCCCAGTCTTAACGTTTGCTTAATAAATGCACTTTAATGGTCAAATTAGCTGCATTTCACCGGGGCGGTGCAGCCGGTTTGACAGTCGGTCCAAGCAGCGAGCAGAACGTTCAAGGAAAAAAACAAAGTATAAAGTAAAGTATAATAAATAAAGTCCAGCTGGTTGTCCTCGAGGCTCAATGGGATTTACCTGTCTAAATAAAGGTTGATTGATATAAACGTAGCACTCGTTAGGCTAGCCTTTAGCTTAGCTTTGATAATGATTTCTTCACTTTTCTTCTTTATGACTGATGTCACAGCTGATAAGGTACTAACTATAACTGTTTGACTCAACATTACTTTACAAAAATGACCAAACTGTTGTTAAAAATAATTATGAAACATTTAAAAAGGTTTTTGTCTTAGAGTGAAACCCCCAAACTCCCACCTCATCAGGACTCGAGTTCTTTCTCTTTAGGTGTCAGAACAAGTATATGTTAGTTTAACTTTATGCACACCATTGATTAAGCTTATTATTGGGGTTAAAGTGATAGTTCAAAAACAATTACTGTGGGGTTGAGAAAGAAGTATCTTACCTGTTGTAGATAGCTCTTTGAACAATCTCAGTGTGGACAAATTAATTCTGACAAGCTAACATCTAGTTTGTGTGGGGTCGAGACCAAAGTGGATTACTGTTGTATTTATAAACTTTTTCGTGGTTGTCAGTTTTTCATCAAATGGTTATTCTGGCAGAAATATGATGATATTCTCGCTGCATGACTCTAGGTTGCACCAGAAGTGCTGCAACTTGTAACGTGACACTGAATCCACTTTGGTCTTTGCCTCACTCCGACTAGCCTTTAGCTCATCCATCTGGTCAGAATTAGGCTCTACTTCCTAAAACGGAGGTTGTACAAAAAGCTATCTACAGCAGGTAGGACACTTACTATTGTTTTCCTCATAACTCTGCTTTTAAATATCTAAACTGATCTAAAGTTGGTTTTAAAAGCAAATTCTCACGTGGTTCAGACTGATATTAATAATGTGTGTACTGGTAGTTTGTTTTTAGTTTTTAAATATCAAATATTATGTTTGGGATTATGAGAGCATCATGAGAGATTAATCTGCTTCAGTGTTTATTGCTTTTTTTTAAACCTAATTTGTTTGCTGATTTTTACAGTTTTTTTCTTACATTTTTCAAACAGAAAATACATTTTTTTAATTGTCTGCAACCAGAAAGATGAAAATAAGTTGTGTGTCTTACTAACGATGAAACGTGTGGACCTTCTTTGACTAATAATAAAAAATAACAAAACGATTTGATGTTTTTGTTTCGTGCAGTTTGGAGCTGAGCGAGTGGCGTGGTCAGAACCAGAGGACGCTGGCCGTCGGCTTGTTCCCCGCCTGCCTCACCATTCCTGCTGCCCCCACCGCCACCCCCAGCAGCGCTGGGCCCAATCCCGCCGCCAGCGTCCCCCACATCTCGACCCCGATGAAGGGCAGCCTGCAGCACACGGGGCACGGAGACGTCCACCCCGACCGCACCTGGGGGACACCTGAGAGGCTGGACGAGTCAGTACTTTTACTCTCCTCCCTTCCATCTTACGTAGAGCATCTGTAGACAGTCAAATGACAGTGAAACGTTGTGTTTTGTCTTAAACAGCTCAAATATTTGCCCGCAGATTCTGGAGTAGCTGAACTGAAAGCTGCCGGGTGTTTTTCTGACGGACTAAAGATAACTGACAAACAAAATGTATCGCTGTGAGGAGACAGTCATTTTAAGTTTGACTCAAAAAAGATGAAACTAATAACTTTATTATTTCTTATACGTAAAATGGACTGAAAGTCGGTAAAATCAAGTTAAAGAACCCATAAAACTGAAGAACATGGCCGTGTAGAAAACATTAAACATCCAGGATGACCCTGACTGCAGCTGGAAAAGAAACCATTCAGCCTCGGAACGAAGGCTTCAGCTTCTCAGGAGCGATGTGGGATGTTAATGTCCCAAGCGAGGGTGAATCACCTGATGCCATGATCACCATGGTAACACAGGCCTAACACATGACTCGTTCATGAGCTGGTTATGAGTTTAAAGTTCTCACTGTCGATGAGGAGGAACCTGTTCACTGAAATCCCAGGCAGAAAAACTCAAACTGAAACCCAACAATGTTCAGTCATGTCATCTGGATGGTTTCTCTTTTTGTTGAGATGTTTGGTCCTCCATCCAAAGGACTTCATCAGTCCGAGGAGCCACTAACAAACTCAGTCCCACAAGCAGCACACTCCCATAGTGGACCAAACAGTTTGCTGGTGATAAGATGGTTTCTGGAGTCCGCCCTCTCCCCCGTCGACTCCTCTGAGGCAGCCATAAAGTGGTTCAAAACATCAAAGTTCATGCTCAATAATCCAGGTAGAAAATCCAACAAAGTTCAGTCAAGTCCTCTGGACGGTTTCTTTTTTTGTTGAGACATTTCTTCCTTCATCCAAAGGACTTCATCAGTCAAAGTGAAACATTTGTACATCTTCGTAGCTCTGCCCTGTGCTTTAACATTTTAAATAACCCTCAGATTGTCAAATTAAATATTTTGCTGTTATTTTATACATTTTATGCATCAGTCAGAGAATTTAGATGTAGAGCATACAATCTGTTACACACCGGTACTTAATCTGGTAAAGATGTTGCCCGTCACCCTGCAACTTTGAACATATGATGCAGCCTGGGCTGCCAGATTTTTAAATGAATCACATTTAATTAAATTATTATTATTATGTTTGAATCATGGATTTCTCAGCGAAAAAAGCGAAAATAAGAATTTCTCTTGAAAACTGGATGAAGCTCACAAGCTTTTCTTCTGGACTTTGTGCCTTTTCGTTATGAACAGAAAAAAAAAAAAAAAAGTTCCCCTGGGTTCATTGTCTTGGGAGGATGCTCGTCTCTTCGGGGTTTTTGTCGATGTGGGGTGAGGGAAGCGGAAAGCTACGTTAGTGGTGGCAGTTATCGACGGGGTGAGGGGGGAGAGAAGCGGAGCGCTACGTCTGTATTGCATTCGGGAGGCAGGGGTTGGTTAGCTTAGCGCTACGTTATCGTTGACGGGGTGAGGTGTCTGTATTGCGTGCGGTTTGGAGTCTGAGCTGAGCTGCCACAATCTCCGCTTCCCGTCCGGAAGTGGGGGGGTGGGGGATTTGGTAGGCGGGGCGCTCGGTTCTCTTGACTGGGAGGGGGCGTCCTCCTTGAATAATGTTTGGGGAAACGCTGAACAAAATAAGATTAAAATCATAATTGACATTTAATGACGTAGAATGAGTTTATTATTGTGTGAATGTTTATAAAACATTCTCAATATTGAAATCCGTTTTTCTTCTGTACGCTGTTCCCATTTTTACATTACACACAACATCCGATGCTGCCTGGCCATGCTGTCCGTCACACCCTTACAGTCCCCAATCTCCCTCAGGTTTCCTCTTCTACACAGAATGTAGTCGACCTGCGTACTCCTTCCTCCACTCTTATAGGTCACTCCATGTTCCTCCCTCTTTTGGAAATAGGTGTTGACTACAGCCATTTCCATTCTCTTGGCAAAATCCACCACCATCTGTCCTTCCTGGTTTACTTCCTTGACACCAAACCTACCCATCACTTCCTCATCCTTTGTTTCCTTCACCAACATGTCCATTCAGGTCTGCTCCGATCACAACTCTTTCCTCCCTGGGAATAATCTCTACCACTTCATCCAGATCCTTCCAAAATGTATCTTTCTCCTCCACATCACATCCAGTCTGTGCAGCATAACCACTGAGAACGTTTAGCATCAGACCTACTACTGTATTTTTCGGACTATAAGGTGCATTAAGCGAAACTAAAACATTCTGACAGATTTTTGAGCGCCGTGTACCACATAAAATCGGTTCAAGGTCAGTAGCACATCCAGAATTAATACATAAGGCTTTCTGTTGGTTTTTGAGAAAATTAAAGGATTTTTAAGTGCACCTTATAGTCCGAAAAATACGGTACTTCTACCTTCAGACACATCACCCTATCTGACACTCTTTTCACCTCTACTACATTCTTTGCCAACTCCTCCTTCAGGACCACCTCTACTCCATTTCTCTTTCTATCCACACCATAGTAAAACAATTTAAACCCTGCTCCAAAGCTGCAAGCCTTGCTGCCCTTCCACTTGGTCTCTTGGACACATAAAACATCTACCTTCCTTCTCTGCATCATGTCAGCCAGCTCTCTACCTTTACCAGTCATTGTCCCCACATTTAGAGTTGCCACCCTCAGTCCTATATTCTTGACGTTCCTCTTCTCCCTCTGTCTCCTGACATGTTTCCCTCCTCGTGGTCTTTGACTAACAATAGCACAATTTCTGCCACACCCTGTTTGTCAACAGCACCGGCCTCGACCGATCCGGTATGGTTTCGCTTTGATGAACTCACGTTAGTTTTGGCAAAAGTGTTTTGCGTAGGATGCCCTTCCTGACACAACCCTCACCATTTCCCTGGGCTTGGGAAGAGACGAGAGAGATCAATCAATCAATCAATCAACCTTTATTTATACAGGTAAATCCCATTGAGCCTCGAGGACTCATTTACAAGAGAGACCTGATTTCAACAAAGAAAGATGACAAAAAAAAGATAGATGTCAGATGTCTGATGCTAAAAGATGTCAGAGATAAGAGCTACACTGACTTGTGCCCCCCTAGTGTTGATGTGTCCCTTTATCCAACCCCATGAAGAATCCTTATTGCTTTGCAGAACGAATAATGGTTGTATTACACTTTTATAATTATAATTTTTTATTATATTAAAAATATATTATAGGAGGAAAACGTGTCAGGAGACAGAGAGAGAAAAGTCAAGAATGTAGAACCGAGTGTTGCAACTCCAAATGTGGGGATTATAGTATGAATTATTATAAAATTATATTTAATTATAATTATAATTACACTTTTAAATAAAGGTTAATAAATAAATAAATGAAATAATTATTGCCCCAGAATATGGAAGGACTATGGAACAGTATAAATTCAGAATATGAAGGCATTTGTAATTCAAGAGTCCGTTTTGCTTTTTCAATATTGCAACCGCCCCCCCCCCACACCCACACACACACACACACACACACACACACACACACACACACACACAATGACATTTTAGCTTGCAAGTCAAATGTGAGATTTACTCCCAGAAAATTAATTTCTTTCACCCTTTCAATTTTCAGCTGGTTTTCTGCTCATTTTAACAGTTTTGCACTTTATTAAGCTACTTTTTTTGCTTTTTCAAATTTTAGCCTTTTTATGTTCCTTTAGGCTTTTTCTGCTAATTCGGGCTTTTAAAACTTTTTCAGCTACCGGTAATTTTTTATTTATTTATTTATTCAGCTTTTTTGTGCTCCTTTCAGGTTCTTCTTTATACTTTATACTTTTCATCTATTGGTGTATTTCAAGTAAGCTTTAGATTGTTCAGCAGTTTTATTTATTTAGCTCCAAATCACAGCAGAAGTTGTCTCAGGACACTGAACAGAAACATTCACATACATAAAAAAGCCAGTTAGTAAAAGTTCTCCATCAGGAAGTCAGCAGATTGTGTTGAGTCTTCACTTCGTTGCAGTCTCCCATCCTGAGCGAGCACGAAGGCGACAGTGGAAAGGAAAAACTCGCTTTTAACAGGAAGAAACCTCCAGCAGGACCAGGCTCAGGACGAGCGACCATCTGCTTCAACCGGCTGGGTTTGAGAGGACAGGAAGGACGAACGTACACAGAATGGCAGGTCCAGGTGTCCTTTGTTGGACCACCGAGGACTGTCGCGTCCTGGACGACAGAGACATTACACTACGTAATGTCACGAAACCAGTAACGGGGCCGTTGTTGTGCTCGTGTTACAAGTCATTTAGTTTGATGCGAGATGCTGCGCTGATGTTTCACCTAATGTGGGTCAGTGTAGTCCATGAACCGAGGCTGTTGGTCTAATGTTCTTACTGATGTGATGTTTACAGAAACAGCTGGAGGACGGCACCTAGCAGGGAGAGGGAGGGAACCAATCTGCAGAAAATGGCAGGTAGGAACTCTAAAATAAAACCAAGTGGTGAGCACAACTACCAACTGCAACTTCCATATTAGAGTTACATCAATATATGGTTAAATAAAATGTTGAAAAAGTTAACTTTTTTTTAATTGGTACTTTTGATCCTTGAACTTGTTCTCGAGGCCACCACTATCCTGCACGTCTTACTTGTTCCTTTGCCCACCACACCTGATACAACAGTGCAATCGTCTCTTCGTGTTCCATAGAAGTCTGTTAATGACCCATTGATTCAAATGAGGTGTGTTGGAGCAGAGTGGCCGTCAAAAACCAGCAGTGGACACTCCCCTCGAGCCCAAGCCCAACCCCCCCCCCTACCACTTACACCCAAGTTAACTTTTTCAACACCAGC